TGGCTGGAACGTAGACTTCATGAAGAGTAGTGCAATGCAACAAAGCTGGAAAGGCAGGCTGGAGACAGACTGGGAAGGATTAAGCTGAGCAGTTCAGAGTTAATCTTCAAGTCAACAGGATCCTGCTAAAGATTCTTGAGGAGAGAGTGACATAGACAGGCCTGTGCTTTAGAATAGGAAGATTACTGGCAGCTCTGTGGAAGAGGGACTGGAGACTGGAGAACCTTTCTCAGGATGGTCAAACAATTAAGATCTAGTGAGCAACAGATAGATTGTGAAACAAAAAAAATATGGGGGCCACCATGGTTATGACCTCACATAAAAATTACAGCCACCTACAAGAATCACGGAATAAATCACAGAATCTCAGAGTTGGAAAGGACCTCAAAGGCTCATGTCATCCAACCCATAAATGAATACAAAGTCCCTCTACAACCCATCCACAAGTGGTTATCCAACCTTTGCTTGAAGATCTCTACTGAAGGAGTACTTACTATCTCTCAAGGCAATCAATTCAACTTTAGGATAGCGTGAATTGTTAGGAAGTTTTTTCTTGTATCAAGTCTAAATCTGCCTCTCTGCATATCTACCGCATTGTTCCTAGTTCAGCCAGCTAAGGCCTAGAACAAATCTAACTCCTCCTATTAACCTGTTCTTGATCATGCCATGCTAGGTCTTTAAAATCTTTTTCTAGATTGCTTACAGTATGGTTAAGATAGAATGACTAGAAGAGAATACCTTGGATCAAAGAGGAAAATAGGGGAGAAGAATGGTCCCTTAACTCCACCAAGTAGGAAAGTCTATATAGGCAGCTTACAGTCAGGATAGTAACCTAGGAGTTCAGATAGGAAATGCCATTTCTCCTCTAGGACCTAAAAGTATGTTTGCTGAGAAATAAGATCAACTCATCAAGATGTTACTGGACATTAGGCATAGGATAGCCATACAGTTTCAATGTAATAAAGGAAGATAAATAAACACTATGTAGCTTTATAAGTAACTCTGGAACTCTGTAAATCTTTAAAACACTTGTGAGCCCTAGTTAGTAGTAATTAGAAAAAAACCAAACTGCACAGAATTGTATGAAATTGGAGGAACTGGTAAAAACTGCTTTGTCAAGAAGTTATATAAGCACATTAACCAGCAAATAAATCAAGAAATATTTAAGCACCTACTAAGTACAGAGAGCCCTTTGCTAGCTGCTAAGGGAGATAGAAAGTTTAGGATTATAGACTCAAAGCTAGCAGGGATCATCTTCTATTCCACTATCTTCATTTTATAAATCAGGAAACTGAGGCCCAGAGAAATGAAATAACTTGCTCAAGGCCACAATGGCAGTAGCAAAGCTTGAGATTTGAAGCCCAGTTTCTCTGATTCTCTACTGAACCACTGTTACTGCCTCCCCGCCCCTACCCCCATCCCTTTCCCCAACTAGTAGGCTGGAAGACAGCCTGGTACAGTGGAAGGGGCACAGCAATGGAAATCCCAACACCTGAGTTTGAACCCTGGCTCCGATGTTACCAGTTATGTGACTATGGGCTAATTTCTTAATTTCTCTGACTTCATTTGTAAAATGGGATAAATACTCACATAACTCATAGTTAGCTCATACAGCGTTTATGAGCAAAGTATTTTGTAGATCTAAAACACTTCAAGTGTATGATTTCACTGGTGTAGGTACTCCCACGGTAGAGAACAGACTGTTCTGCTCCTATAACTTAGTACATGATTTTGAGGATTCGCTGTGGCCAAAAAATTGATCATCTTGGGGCTAACCTGATCCTGAATCTCTGATCTTAGTTAGCTAGCTTGATCTGTTGGCAGTAGACCTACAGGCCAACTGTAGATCCCTATTTGAAATTGTTCTCACTTGATAGGACCTGCCAGAGCTTATGCTCCCCTGTCATAGGCTTTGAGAATCCCAAGCCACCTCCATACCAGGCTGAGATAGTGGAGGAGAGCTTCAGTGGGCCTTAAAGTGCCTTATTAAATGAGTTGTTGTGCCCCTAGCTGGATGGTGAAAGTGAGAAATGCTATAGATTCCCCTGGATCAACAGGAGAGGTAGAAGCCAAATGGGTGGCTGTGGTCAACTCCAGGATCATAGTCTCCTGAATTCCTGGATTTGGGGTATGATGGGAAGAGATATTTCAACTCAATTCGACAAACACTTATTAAGAACCTACTGTATATAAGACACACTAGTAGGAACTCAGAATATAACAACGGAAAGAGGAAATAGTCTCTGCACTCAAGGAGTTCAGAATCCAGTACGGAGAATAAGAGAGGTACACAAATCAGAATACAAATTAGAATATGTGATCTGAGAAGAGGAGTATAGTGGTTGATCAGATGGTAGTGAATCAGGGAAGGTAGCATCTAGGTCCTAGATTCTAGGAGGTTGCACCTGAGCTGGGTAGGAAAAAAAGATTTCATCGTAAGGAAAATCTGCAGACACAGGGTGGCATGTACAAGGCATGGAGATGGGATAGGGCTAGAAGAAACCCAGAAACATTAAGTGGTCCAGTTTGGCTGGAGTGTAGGATGCATGAAGGGAAATGGTATGAAATAAGGCCTGGAAGAAGGCTGGAACCAGATAGATTAGGGAATGCCTTGAATGCCAGGCTAAGAGTCTGTACTTTCAGTAGTAGACAAAGGGGAAACTCCTGAAGGTATAAAAGCAGGGGAATAATGTAATCAGACCTGTGCATTAGCAGTAGTATTTGGTAGCTGGTAAAATGAGTAAACTGGACAAAGGAAAGGATAGGAAGAAAGACAGTTTCATTTTTGTTGTGTTGAAAGAGTATCTAGAAGCAGGAGAACTGAGATAGAGGTAAGAGATTAGTCACCTATGTACTGAACTAGTTTAAACCACTAGCCTAGTATTAATGGATGTAGAGAAGAGGAGCTATTAAAGGTGCTGGTAGAACAATATGAGTGGTAGGAGGAAAATCCTAAGAGTGTGGTCAGAGGGCACATACAAGAGTGTTAAGAGCAGTAGACTGAGGGCAATCAAGGCACCAGAAAAAAAAGGGAAGCGCATTACCTTTGGTTCTATGGAGGTGGGAGGAATATTCTCTCTAAATGGTCCTTTGGTGACATGGATTAAGTTAACTAGAGTATTTGCTTAAATGTCAGACCCAGGCTTTTCACTTTCCTTTGCTTGACTCCTGATTCCTATTTGCTGATTCCCAGCAGAGCTCATCTTAGGTATTGGTGCAGATCTGTGGCTCTATACTTACTGGAACACTCTCCTAGTTCAATGCCACCCAGCTCTAACCCCAAGCTCTAGCGTTAGTCACTCCTCACACAAATGGCTGTGAGAATGGGCCTGCTGAGTTGAGAGATGGTCAGACACGGTAAGACTAACAGTCCTTCATTAATCTCAATTATTTCGCAACCGGTAAGGTCACCTCTGCGTCACCATCATATTACACCGTGCTTCCCTTCACTTCTTGTACTAGCCCTGGATCAGTGACCATTTCAAGTTGCCTTTTTCTTGACTACTGATTTGAGATTTCCCAAATTATATGGAAATATCACAATGCTTATGATGTCAAGGGCCAGAGCCTGGAAAGAAACCCTGTGATGCAGTAGGAAAAAAAAAAAAGCACTGAACTGGGAGTCGGGAGATCTGGGGTTTAGTTCTAGCTTTGATATCAACTAAGTGACCTGGGCAAATAATTTCTTTCCTGGAGAATTCCAAGAGCTCAGTTTTCTCATCTGTAAATATGTTTTCTAAAGTCCCTTCCAGTTCTATCATTTCAACTTGGCTGAGCTCTCTACATAGGCTGAATAATAAAAGGAGCCACTGGAACTCAGTCATAGGGTACCATCCCTACATTTTACTTGTCACCCTTCTGGTAGTCTGGGGAAGCCTGTGAACCTCTCTTCTCAGAATGTTTTACAATGCATAAGATAAAGCACATAGGATTACAAAAGAAACCAGTTATGTTGAAATAGAGATGTAATTTTCTTCCTTCACCCCAGTTCATGGACTCTTTGAAATCTATCCCGCCAACCCCTTGTGGTCCTGTGGACCCCAGGTTAAGAACTCCTGCCTTAGGCTCTAAATGCAGCAACACCAACAAACACAAATTCTTTACTGCCTCTAAGATAGCCTTCTCTCTTACATGCTCTTAACAAATAACCACTCAGCAGTTTTCAGGATCACTAGCTAAAATCCATCTTTCTCCTTGGTTACCGCCTTCCTCTCCAACCTCAGTACATACCAAGCTAGGAATGTACAGAGAGCTATACCACCTATATTTAAAGCAACACAGAATTTTATGGCAATTAACAATCTATATACTATACCTAAAGAACCTAAAGCATCTTTCTGGAATGCCTGTGTCCTCAGGCCAAATACTCCCCAGTTTGGAAATCTTTCCCTTTCTGCCAAATGTGACAGACGGGTCCTTTAATCTTCCTTTGGCTTCCCTCTTAGTTTGCCTCCCCCCCCCCACTACAAAGCTCCAACTTTCGATCTCGGCACCTGCCAGGCCAGTTCCTCTACACTCTTCCTTCCCACGGTCAAGTTCTGGGGGAGCTCCTGCAGATGGGACCCCAAAGCGCCTTCTGAGTCCTGGCGGGGTCATTTCGCCAAACATTTTGCCAGGTGCAAAACCACTCCTCTCCCAAGACAACAAGTATTGATTAAGCACCTACTGTGTGCCATGCGGGGTAAGTGGTCAGTCCGGGAGATCGGTAATGTTCAAGGCCAGACCCCGGCCGAAGGCAGGCGAGGGTGGGCTCTTCAGCATCAGGGGGCACCTCCTCCACCGGACTGAGCTCACGCTCGGCCCCGGGGGCCCTCATCTCCAGGGATGGGGGGTAGCCACGCCCCGGGGGCCCAGGGCGGGGGCGAGGCCAGGCTGGGGCGTTGCCAGCTGCAGGCGGCCCCTGGAGGAGATCGCGCTCCGCCGGGGGCCCCCTTTGCCCTGCCCCCTCCCGGCCCGGCCGCGCCCCAAGCTCATACCCCACCGCCGTCCCCACCGCTTACCCGGGGACTCGCTCCGGCTCCGGTCCGGGACGACGTGACCCCCGCCCTGCGCATCCCCGCCTGCTCGGGAGCTGGGGCAGCTGCTGCGCCTTCGCTCCCGGGGGGCTTCGGAGGGAGGGTCCTACCTTGAGCTCCCTCCACCTGCCCCACCCGGGGGCCGGACTCGGGGGGCTGAGCGAGAGACCCCAGCCCGGGGCGAAGCCCCCGCCTGCACCCGCCAGGCCTCGCTCGCGCGGCGGCTGTTACCGGCTGCGGCAGCTGCGGCCCCACCGTTCCAACAGCCGAGCTACTCCGGCCCGCGCTGGCAGAAGCGCCCTCGGCTGGTGCGGGGGCGGGCCGGGAGCTTGTGCGCCCCCTCCCCTTCCCCTCTCGACAGGCGGGCGGGAGCGCGCTGGAAGGCGGTGGCGGGGTGGGGGGAGCAGAGCCGCAGGGACGGGTACGAGGCTCAGCTCGCGCCGCCTGGTGGAGGGGGAAGGGAGGAGGCGCACGAGGTGGGGAGGGAGGGGGCGAGAGTGAGGAAGAGCGCGTGCTGTTCGCTAGCGAAGAGGGTGGTGGGCTGGCGGGCTGGGGCAGGAGTCGAGGCTACGGGGGTGGGGGGGAAGCGGTGTAGCAGCTTCGGCCTGACGCAGGCGGGCTGGGGAATACCAATGAGCGCCCCCCCGCCAAGCCCGGGGACTGCAGAGCCTGGGACTGCACCAGCCAGTCCGTCCGATTGGCACCAGCAAGGTCAGTCACAAGCCGAGCCTTCCCCTGCTAGGCCCCTCGGAGGGGGCTGTGTGCATGTATGCATGCGTGCGTGCATACATGCATTCATTCCAGCAGCAGATTGCAGGGAGTTTGTGGAAGTATGCATGCGTGTATGCATTGGTTCATTCATCTGTCCATTCATTCGTTCATTCATTCTTTCACGGGCCCTCATCAACTTCCCCTCCAGACTCAAGTCTCTGGAAGCATCTTAGAGGGAGGGGGAGGTCAGAGGAACTGTGACTCCTGGAGGAGGCGCCAATCCAACCCAATCTGAGCTTCATATTAGAGCATTTGGACCTAAGGAACCCGATACAATCGAAAAACTGAAACTGAACTCAGACCCCTCCCCCACCCTTCTATAAAGCGGGGGGGGGCGGGGCGGGGCTGCTGTTGGGGTCCAGCCGGCTTCACCTTTGGCTGTGGCTTTGCATTCGTGGTGGGTGCACAGGTATCTTACGTTAGAAAGCACTCCCACGTGGACCCGAGCCGTGAAGCGTGAAGCTGCAGTGGAGCCAGATTGGCAATTTGAGAGAGTGAAGCTCTGCATTGCACATCTGTCTGGGGAAGCGGGAATGACTGATTAGGAGGTTTAGCTTTGGTTAGGAGATACCTTCCAGCTCTTTTTAGGCCAACCCCTCGATTTTCAGGGGAGGAAACTGAGGCCCAATGAGGATGTGATTTTTCCAAGGTCACAAAAGCGCTAAATAGAACAACTAGAGTTGTTCCCCACCCGCTCCCTTGGAAAGTGTAGGATTTTGTTCTCTGATCTTCCCACTTACTCTGGGACTTTTCGCTCCCTTTCCTTGACCTTTTTCAGGCAGACCCATCCAATCACAGGAGCTCATTTTCAGTAGCTCTGTCACAGTTTTTAAACATGACATGTATTCTGTTTGTTAACTTCTGCTAACTGTTGACTAGTCACATTAATCCATCCAGAAGCATTTATTAAGCACCTCTTATATGGCAGTAGCTGACCTTGAGAAGCCTAGTCTGGGGGAAGAGGGGGATCACATGCACATTTATAGGTATATATGCAAAACAGATACCAGATAAGTTTGGAGGAAAGGCACTGGCAGTTGGTGAGATAGGAAAGGCTTCATGTAGAAGGTGATGTTTGAGCCAAACCTTGAAAGAAACCAACGGTTCTTGGAGAAGTGAGGAGGGAATACGTTCCGCACAAGAAAGAGCAGTCCATGCAAAGATATGAGGATGAAGTGCTGTGTTCAAGGAACAGCCTTGGTATTCATGAAGAGGAGTAACATGAAATAAGGCTGTTTGGAGAGGTTTGTGAAGGGCTTTAAATGCCAAGCAAAGGCTTATATTTTATCCTAGAGTAATAGGGAGCCGCTTGAGTTTAGAGAGTAAGGAATGACAGTCAGATCTGTGCTTTTGAATATTACTAGGCAACTGTGTGGAGGGTAGATTGGAGTGGGGAGAGACCTGAGGCAGGAAGACAAAATGAGAGGCTGGAGGAGTAGTTCAGGCAAGAACAGAGGTGGTGCCTATATAAGGGTAGGGAAAGGGGCCTAAGCAAGAAATGTTGGGGAGGTAGGAATGACAGAGTTTGGTGGAATTGGTGAGGTCTGGTAACTGGGCAAGTGGTAGGAGGGGGATTACTAGTTGAGGATGACACAGTGGCTGCAAACCTGGGCGGATAGAGGAGCTGTGGTACCCTCAGTAGGAACAGGAAAGTCTGGAGGAGGAGGGAATTTAGGGGGAGAAATCATGAGCTCTCTTGGAGTTTGAGAAGCCAGTGATTGATTGATTTGGATCTGGGAATCATCCTCATAGAGATAACTAAGCCCTCGAGAGCTGATGACACCAGCCCTCTGGGTACCATTTCCTGACATAATTAATAAGGCTTCTATTTTTAAGAGCAAGGTCTGTCTAGCTGTCTTTACACACTTTCCTGCCTATGTGCCTTTGCTTATGCTTTTTCCTATATCAACAATGTCTCTCTCCCCCCTTCACCTGTTGGATTCCTACCTGTTGTTTAAAGCTCAGTGTAAATGCCATCTCCTCTGTGAATCCTTCCCTGATCTGTAATGACTCCCCTCCCCCGCCCCGTTTGGAATTCATATAACATTTTGTTTTGCAAATCTAATTAATGTATCATGTAATATCATATATTGTAATTATTCGTGATTGTGTCTTATCTTTCATTAGGCTGTAAGCTCTGTGGGAACAGAGATTGTATTTTAGCTAAATTTACATCTCTCACAGTGCCTAGGACAATCCTTGTCCTAGGCTTGTCCACAATAGACACTTGATAAGTGTTTTTTGAAAGAATGAATGCCTACTTTATGTCTAGACTGCCCAAGATTCTTTTGACAACATTTACTCAGGAACTTTATACAACTGATTAATACAATGGATTTTTCTGTTCACCTATCATACATTCTTTGAATACCTAGTGTTCAAAGCTAGGATGGAAGGTTGTACCAAAAAAGAAACTGATATGTGCCTGAAACAAAAAAATTATAAAAAGACATGAATAAGTGCCAATGATATTCAATAAACCCCCTGATTTACATTATTATAACTTACTTTTCCTGGTGCTCAATTGTCTATATTAATAATGTACTGAGTTATGCAACCCTCACTCCTTTCTCGGTATGTTTGATAAATAAACATCTACATCATTTGCTGTGACAGCCCAGACAAGCAGGTAGGCAGTGGTGTTTGGGACCCCCTTCAGAGCTGAATTACTCCAGTAACTCTATAGGCAGAGGACCCTGTAAAGGGTGATGAGCTTCTTTCTGGGTTAAAACTAGAGCTATCAATGAAGAGGAAGATGTCACAAATCTGCTCCTTAAGAAATCTCTGCTGACTTCCTGGAATATGATAATGTATAAAATGCATAAAATATACATTATTGCTTATCTAAAAGTATAATAAGCCATAGCTTAATTTATTTATATTTTTCTGCCCTTTGCAGCATTTCTTTCTCCTCTGCCCAAGTGATTTTAGGATATACTAGATCCTTGGATTGAAGAGAGACAGAGCATATGATTGATCACAGTGGGATAGGATACTCAGAAGAAACTTCTTGAAAAAACTGAGCTTTGAGCTGAGTCATAATGGAGAAAAAAGAGCATCAGGCAGCCTAGGAAGAGGAAAAGGAATGAACAAAGCCCTGTGGACGAGTGTGTGAGATTTGGATGGGGCTAACCTGATTAGAATAGAAAGGATGTGATGGGAAGTAGTTTGTAACATATTCTTATATCATTTGGTCTTTTGTTGTTTTACGTGTGCTTGGCCCTGGAGGCTGTGGTGGTGTATACTCTCCTCTCCAGGATGGGTCTGGACCCATGAACAAGAACTAGCTTCAGTCCTGGGGGAGTCTGACAACCTAAGAGAAGGGTCAGCCTCTTTCTCACACTCTTTGGCTCTTTATAATCCTAACCTGGAGCCCCACCGAGAATTGCTTAAGGTTTTAGTTTGGGCTCATGCCCAAGATCTCCTCCAAAAAGTGGGGAGTAGAAAAGGACTCAATCTACAATGCAGATAAGGCCAGTTATTTATTTCCTCCAAAAGAAATGTTTAACACACAAAACCCACAAGTGCCCATTGCCAGAAGAAGCCAGTAACCTTAGCTATTCTTATTCTTTTTCCAGAGGTTGATACTCAAAACATCAGCACATGATGCAGTTTGCAGGACTGCTGGATTTCACATTTCACCTCTTCTCACCATGTTCTTGTCTTCTGGAAAGCCTGACCAAGGGTTGATTGATCTTCTCCTGTCGTGGTTATCCTCTCCAATGCAGAAACTCTCTCTACTGCCTCTAAACAAGGGACCCAGGATCTCCGGGTCTTTTGAACTTAAAGGTTGTCTCCGAGGCTGGACATGTCTATCTCAGAAATTACTTTTCATAAACCTGTACTCAGGAAAGGAATAAAACAGAAGCAGCAGCCCCGGGCCCAAGGCCTAGTCTCTGTCACCTAATCTTGAGCATGCTGGAGCTGCCGTCTGCCAAGTTTACTGTTTCTGCAGGTCATCAGCCCCACCCTCACCCCTTGAGATGCTGACATCTCCAGATAGAAGAGAGGTAGAAGGTAGAGTCACTCCCCTTTTAAAGTCCCCCGATACTGTTCTTGCTCAGTGTCAATAAGGGGACTGTTTCCTCATCCCAGAGTCCTTCCCCAGAAATGGCTCCGCATTTCCATGGAGTGTGCCCCAGTCTAACTCCTGCTGTGTGTATGTTTTGTTTTCCCAACCAGACTGATGCTTTTCAAAAGTCCGGATTTGTGTTTTCAATTTCTTTTTCATCTCCCTTAAGTAGAGAACTGTGTGTATGACAGATAACTGATGTTCAGTGAATACTTATTGATCAAACGATTGAGAAGCAAAAATGAGACCAGTTATAAATGCGTGGCGAGAGGGGCACTGTATTTTCTTAAGCAGGGTAATAC